CTCTCTCTCTCTCTCTCTCTCTCTCTCTCTCTCTCTCTCTCTCTGCTTTTGCTCTCCTCCACCCCCATGAAGTGTTTCCCTCTGCCATGAGCCACCCTTCCTTGGAGCCAGCCGATTATGGACTGAAACCTCTGCAAACTAAGCTAAGTAAACTTATCCTCCTTTAACTTTGGGTGTTGGGTATTTTGTCACAGCAATGAGAAAAGTAACATAGAGAGCAATCTTTTTCAAATAGGTGGCAGATGAAGAGATGGAAGGGATTGAAAAGAGAACTGAGATGTGTTATGTATATGTACCAACTCCCCACAAGGAATGTCATCATTGCGTAATGTGAACACACACTAATAAAAAATTTATAAGATTTGGTTTCTAAAAAATAAAATAAAATAAATATTTGGTTTCCTAAAGAAAACTGTAAGTGCTGTGTACCTTTGTTTTTTTGAGACATTATCTTGCTATTAGTTCAGGCTGGCCTTGAACTCATGGCAATCCTCCTGCCTCAGCCTACTGAGTGCTGGGATTACAGTGTGTATCACCACCCCCAGCAGCTAAGTATATTTTATAGGTGAAGAAAATGAGAGGTAAGCAAATGTATATTTGCAAACTCAGGTCAAGGCCTCAGAGCCTCACTCTTGCCCTGTCAACCGTTGTGACAGACAATAGTCAACAAAGACCAATAGCAACTCCTGCTCATACTTTTCATTTGTTTAAAATCTTTTGTTCTTAAATACTAGAATATATCAAAATAACCTATATTTAAATGTAGACACTCAGTTCTCAGCGCAGAGCTCAATAATTCAAATCTCTGCAGGAAGGCCTTCTGAAGATGGTTTTGTTTTTTAAGCCATTCTTCGGGTGATTCTAGAGTAAGTGGCTGGCAAGCAGCCTCTGACAGAAGTTGTATAGGCAGCAGTTTGTTTTCCAAAGTTAGCCACAACCAAATCTTGCATTCCCAGTACTGCAAAACAAACAGGCAAACAAACAAACAACACACATACATAAAGCTTGGGATAATAAGCAATCTGTTGTGTGGAGATGGTGCTAACTGATCACTTGGATCATCGCATTTATTATAAAGTAGAAGAGGTAGACTATATTGTTCCTAATACCTTTTGAAGAAAATGCTGAGGCCAAGAGGGCATAATAAGAATTCAAATAATACTCATCATATTCATTCTTTTTTTTTTTTTTTTTTTTTTTTGGCGGAACTGGGGACTGAACTCAGGCCCTTGGGCTTGCCAGGGAAGTGCTTATTCCATTGAACCATCTCCCTGGCTCTTCATCATATTCATTCTGGGAGTTTCGAAATCTTGCCACTCCTTTTTCAGAGGTAGATTCCATGTTTTCTGCTCTTGAACCTGGGTGGGCTTTTCTGGCTGGTTGAGCAATAACAGATTATGGGGATTGCGGCGCTAATGTGGCTTCCAAATTAGGTTAAAAGTTATTCAGCTTCTACTTCTGCTTGCTGCATCTCTGACTTTGGAAGCCACCGTGCAGTGCAGAAGGCCATGTGATAGGTTTTAACGGTGTCGCAGCAGAGAAACACGCAGAAGGAAAGGGGAAAGGGGCTTTATTATAAAGGAAAAGGGACTTCATTATCTTAGAGGACATGAGATTTGGGAAGATAAGGAATTCTCTGGATTGGAACAAAAGGAGGCTGAGGCTTTTATGGCCTTTGCCAGGGGTGGGGCTTGAGGGGGAAGTTTAGATAGACCTGAGGAGCTGATTGGGGCCTTCCCTGAGGTGGAGAGAAAGGTGAAAGGAAACTGCATCCTGGGCTGAGTTGGAGAAGAGGGGAGGTGGTCTCTGGGAAGATGAGCTGTTGTTTTAAGGGCTTCAGCCATATTAGATGACCACCATAATAATTCAGCAATTCTTACTAGGGCCAGAACCTATCACCATGGTGTCCCACAAGAACCACATGGAGGGAGAGAAGCCAATACAGACTTGCCCCCTACAAGGAGGTGTCTTGGGTGGGGTCTTCCTGCCCCTCCAAGCTGCCCACCGCACTCCTAATCCTACAGCTGCTTTCTTCCTGCCAGGGCAACCTCACACGTGCCCTTTCCAAAATCTTTTCACTGTGTCACTGACCCCCTTTTATTCCCTGAACAACCCATTTCAGACTTCGGGTTGTTTGAATTCTCATTATGCCCTCTTGGCCTCAGCATTTTCTTCAAATGGTATTGGGAAAAATATAGTCTACCTCTTCTACTTTATAATAAATGAGATGATCCATACGATCAGTTGGCATCATCTCCACACAACAGAATGCTCATTATCCCAAGTTTTATGTGTGTATGTTGTTTGTTTGCTTGTTTTTGCAGTACAGGGGATTGAGCTCAGGACCTTGCACTGGCCAGGCAGGTCATTGACCTATCTTCCCTGCCCATAGCCCTTATTATCTTTATTGGGTTTCTTTATCCATCTTTTTTTGTTTTCCTTTTTTAATTCACAACACTTCAGAGGCCATCTCCTGTGTCTGATATGCTTTTCCCTACCTGATCCACTAGACTTCTATTTTTAGGATTCTACTCTTTTAAAACACCATTCCTAAATTCTACAGTTACGCAGTTAATCCGTTTCTGTGCTCAAATAGCACCTTAGAGGAGTCTGTTACAGCCCTTAACACATTGAATTGTGAGGACTTGTCTAGCTCCTGCTGCACCCTGGACCCTGGAAGGCAAGGCCAGCCTTTCTTTGGAGTTTTTCTTCCTAACTTAGTAGTACCTGGCACTACTCCACGGATTTACCACCTAGTGTCTCAGGTGGTGATGTGGAACACCGTGGTGAAGCGGAGGCCCTTGCTTGGCAAATCTGCCTAGAAACCAAACAGCTCTGCCTTTTTCTGCTACAACCTAGCCAGAAGTTACCTCTCTAAGGTCTGTTTCAAAATGGAGCTAACTCCTCCTTAAGACTGCCATGAAGACAAATAAACTGCCTTAAAAGGAAAATGCCTAGCAAGGGATCAATCATCAAGGCAGAACGCGTTCACAGCAATCCTACTTCCGCCCCGCCCCCATTGATCCTTTGGGGGATTCTAGAGGTAACCCCTTCTTCAGGAGTACTCAGTGTTTCTCAGCTCATCCAGCTAGCAATTCTTCATCTCAACTGCGAGCTGCAGGCATTGAGAAACAATTACTCTTTGCGTCCCCAAATCGCTCCATTCCCCACCCCCAGGCCTAGGGATGTAGCAAAGAGGCCCGATTTATGCAAATGAAAGGGCTTCTTTGACTGCCGACACCCACAGTCAGAGGTCTGACTAGCGAGTTTCGGTCTGCAAGCGTGCACGTCCGCAGCGGCTGCGGCAGCCCCACAGCGGCCGGGGCAGAGCAGACGTGCCGGAGAGCAGGGAAGCGCATGAATGGCCTACGTCAGGGGCGGGGCCTCTGAGACCCCGCCCACAGCAAGGCGTGTCCTGCGTGCGAGGCGCTGGCGGGCGCGGACCGCCTTGCTACCCGGCTCCTGCGCCGGCTCGGCCACGGCGCGGAGCTCCTCCCGCCTCCCCTAAGTCCCCGCCCCTCTGGGCGCATCACTTCCGCCACCCCCGGCCGGGGTTGGGGCGGGAGCAGGGGGAGGGGGCCAGGTTGGTGCGAAGCCCGCCCGCGCCGGAGCAGGGACTACATTTCCCGAGGGGCCTCGGCGGCGGCGGGCGCGGCGACGTCCCCCGGAAGTGGAGCCCGGGACTTCCACTCGTGCGTGAGGCGAGCGGAGCCGGAGACGCGACCAGAGGCCGAACTCGGGATCTGACAAGATGGCCGGGCTGCCCCGCAGGATCATCAAGGTAACCGCCCCGGCCGGCCTGCGGCTCCTCACTCTGCACCCGGCCATCGGCGGGGCGGGCCGCGCGGCCCCGGCTTCCTGCTCCCTGAGCTGAGCGGCCGAGGCGGCGCGGAGAGGGTCTGGCCGCCGCGGCGAGGGACGTCGAGCGCTGAGGAGGGG